ACACACACGCGCACACACACACACACACACACACATATACCTATAACCTAAAACCTAACTGTAAACCCCAAAACAAAAAAAACCCTGAAAATATAAAAATAAAAACTAATTCAAAATATTAATACTATAATACTGTATACAAAAGTAGGTATTAATAAAATTGACAAAAACACAGCAATAATACTGAAACAAACTAAAATTAAAATGGAAACTGAAAATATAAAAAAAAAAAATTCAATATATTAATACTATAACAGTATATACCAATAAAAATGGCAAAATTATTTAATACTATTATTAAAATATATTTAATACTATTAAAATTTAGACTAAAATTAATATGAAAACAAAAAACATTTTGAAATATTGATAAATACTATAATATTGTCTATAACAGAATATACTAATAATAAATAAAAAAATGACAAACACAAAACAGTATTACTAAAACTGAAAATATAAAAATTCAAAAATTCAACTAATTCAAAATAGTAAAAAAATTATATGTCGATTATACTATATACTAATAAACGTAAGTTGTAGGTTTACACCATGTAAACTAAAATGAAAACGATTTGAAAATAAATCTAATTCAAAATATTAATAATACTAAAATAACACTGATGTGAAATAGGATACTGAATGAGAAAACATATGTAACCATGGGGAATTGACTGGATGAAGAAAAGGAAAGTCATTTTAGAATTGGTTACGAAGAAACTTATTAAGTAAATATTTTTTCTTTAGAATAAAACTGCACTGCTGAATCATGCAAGGTAAGACTAGCAATGTATATTAAGAAAGTCAATAGAGTCCATTTGGATTTCACATTGACTTTAACAAAGAAGAAGTGAGGATCTATCAAAGGTGACGTGATGGTTTTCTAAAGAGCCATACAACTTCAAAAGCCTCTTCTGTGGCATCAGGCTGTAAAAGCCTTTTAAAACTTTTTTGTACAAGTGAACGTCGCACAGACGGCTCAAAGGTTGATCTGTCTGCTTCTTCTAAAGTGTGTTTTTTCTCGAGTGTCACAGATGACTTCCTCCGCGGGGTGTGACACGGAGCGTGAAGGATCAAAAGCTGTGGATTAAAGTCCCAATTACGGAGTGTTTAAAAGGATTTAATCACTTCGGATTCGCTGCGTGAGATTCACCTGACATGTTGCAGTAGATTAGTTGAGGTTTGACGGGGCCGCTTCCATCCACGTCGATGTAGTAAAAGCCAGACGTGTTTCCTTTGTGTTTGTATGCTTCACACGATGCTTCATAAATTGCTGTAAACACAGAAGCAGTAGGTTAGTGTGGAGAGATACTGAGGTGAAGCTGTTTATGTTTAACACTGTGAATAATAACAGTAACATACATAAACAAGTGTGCAGTTGCAATTTCTGTCTACGCATAAAGTTGAGATCTGTTCGTGCAACGTGTGTGAAAATACAGCTCATGTAAAAACATTACTTTTTGTTTTCTCACCCTGTAAAATGTTTTTACGTGCTGTATGATGGTCAGATGGTTTTGATTCCAGTACTTGAGATACTTCAAATACTTCCAACAACATTTTCGCCATATTTTTAGGATTAAAATGTTAAATATTTGTCAGGTGTGTGATATACGAACAAACCCTTCTATAAAAACCTTCAGAATACAGATATGAAGAAAACTGTAAGTTTTGATGTACGTAAGTGCTGCTGAAGTGGAGAAAAAACTCATTTTGAGAAAACAGCCTTTAAAGATATGTATTGTAATTGAAATCTACAGACACAAATAGATGAAGTGCAAAAATAAAACCAGGCGACTGATATATGAACAAACCCCTCAGTAAAAACCTTCAGAATATAGATATTAATAAAACTGTAAATTTTGGTGTATGTAAGTGCTGCTGAAGTGGAGAAAAAACTCATTTTGAGAAAACGGCCTTTAAAAATATATGTAATCTAATCTAAATTTACAGACACAAATAGATAAAATGCAATCAAGTAAACCAAAATAAATAAACGAAAGGGTACTTTGGATGTTTTCTTTCCAGTAATCTGAAAGAAGTCTAATTATGAACACATAAAATTTCAAAATTGATCAGAAAAAGTACATGAAAACAATGGTTTTGCCTGTAGTGACTTGCATTGATTTATGTAATTATTTGATTACATAATTAATTTCAAAAGAGCAGTATTTATCTGGCACAAAATAATTAGGATAATAGCATCAAAACTAAAATATTAATACACAAATTTTCAATAAACACAATTAATTTACTGTATATGACAAAAAACAGCAGTATTTAACTAAAATGTTATTACACTAAAATATTTAGTTTTTATATATTATTATACTAATATAATATATATTTTAAAGGGGTCATATGATACGATTTAAATTGTTCCTTTCTCTTTGGAGTGTTACAAGCTCTTGGTGCATAAAGAAGATCTGTAAAGTAGCAAAGACTAAAGTCTCAAATCCAAAGAGATATTCTTTATAAAAGTTAAGAGTCAGCCACACCTACCTAAAACGGCTCGTTCTAACACGCCCCCACATATCTACATCACTATGTGGGAAGATTTGCATAACGCCGCCCAAATGTTCACGCAAAGAAAGAAGGCGTAACTTTTATTCTCGCTGTAGTATTGTTGTTGCCGCCGCAGCCATGTCGTGAAGGCACTGTGTGTTTCGTTGTGAAAGCGAAACTACTTTGTTTGGCCTTCCAAAAGAGGACGATATCTGCTTCGTCATGCCTGGAGCTGATCCGTGCTGGT